GTTGGTTGAGGTGCCTCCAGGTGCCATCCCCATGGCTGGAGCTGGGAGGTACCCAGTGGGCCACTGACCATGGTGGGCAATGCTTTCATCTCCTTCCAAGTCCTTCTATGCCACACTCTTTCCACTTGTTTGCACACACTTGTGCTCCTGCCTCTGTTTCTCACCCAGAGGGACCATGTACAACTTTTTAGAGATGTCAGAGCCCCCATGAGCTGGGCCCTAATGACTGTGTGGATTAGAGTACTCCCTCCACCCCAGGAACCAATGTATCCCATATATTTGTTGTTGTTGTAAAGTATTGTCAAGTGGGTTCTGACTCATAGAGACCTCATATAGGGTTTCCAAGAAGCAGCTGGTGGCTTTGAACCATCACTCTTGTGGTTGATCCCACAAAGCCACACCAGGATTCCTATCCCATACATGGGAGTGGGAAATAGACTTGTTTTGCCTCTATACCAGTAAATATATTGAGGCCTAAATGCTACACCAGTTAGCCCAACCAACCTAATGCAAAATGTATAAAGTGGATCATCTAAAACCCCACAAATATGTATTTTATTTTAAATGATATTAAAAAAATCAGAATGAGGCTTTTGTAGGAAAGAAAGAAAGAAAGAAAGAAAGAAAGAAAGAAAGAAAGAAAGAAAGAAAGGACATTTCTTTGTTACATCAATAATTTTTAATTGCTCTTACGTGTTTTTCTATTGCGTTTCCACCAGATAGGCTTGTGTCTAATATTCACAGGATCTAGGAAGTCAAGGGAAACAAAACCAGTCATCTATAACTAAAAGAGGTAGAAACCTTACGATTACCTGTGTGGCTGACAGGACTGAGATCAGGAAAGTGCTCTGATGGTCATTTCTGTCTCTTCTCATCTAAGGAAGTGTTCTCTGCTAAACAGAACCCAAACTCACCTGTTGCAGACCGTGTAAAGCTGGTCAGAAGCTCGAGGCCCACTGGGCCTGAGTGTTGCAGACAATGCAGGCCACAGGCTCTGAGGAACAGATTCTGGCCACTGGGCAGTCATAACAAATTGTTTTTCATCTTAGTGTTCAGTTATGTTTTATTAATTCCAAACATGAGCCCTTAATATCCACAGATAAATGTAATATTTTCCTAAAGCCGAGACTGTAAAGGTTTCAAGGTTAAACCTTTTTCCAAAGGATTAACTAAAAATAGCTTAGCTACTTCCTGCTTCTTTGTTCTATAGACAAAAGGACATCTTCCCTAAACCTGTTCCAGGTGCAGGCTATTCAGCCAAAGTTCCTGAAAACCTGGCTCAGGAAGCCAAAACAGCGGGACTCCTCCCAAGCCTTTGTCCTTCCCTCTCACCTTCCCCCAACTGAGCTCAGGGGCTATAGATATGTTAATTGAGCCTGAGAAACCAAGTTGCGGGCCTGGGGTTCGAACCAGCGAAGTACGATGTAAAGTTGCCTGAATGTCGGGAGAATTACGTATGCCAGCTGTACCTTGTCTTAGTCCCTCCCAGCTTGGTGTGAAGCTCCTCCCCTAAATAAAACAAAGGCGCAGGTTGGCCCAGGTGCGCATTACTGGCAGGCAGTGAAAGTGTGTAGTACAGCTTGGAGAACGTGCTGTGGGGCTGACTAGGCATGCGTTACTGACCAGCTAGTAAGGGGTGCGTACTGCCTACTTAGCCAAGATGTATACCATGTGGGATCTTACCGCCTTCCTGGCTAATATATTCACCACACCTGACCTGCTGGATGTCAGTAATGCACCCACCTTGGTTTTGGGGTGTCTCTTTGTCTCCCTCCTTTTGTTTTTCTGTGCATTCTTTTGCTATCCCTTTCGCTGCCAGATATCTCCTCCTTGTGAACCAAACACTCGTGAACAACACAACTCTGTCGAGGCCAGTTCCCGACACTCACCATCTTTTAGCTCCAATCACAAATTCAAAGAAATTCAGAAAGACCAATATGTATATATATTTATAGGTTTGCAGCTAGTGAACTTGACAGCAAAAGTGGACTTGAACAGACATGAGTAAAGTATTTACTACGTTTGATGTGAATATTCCCATAAGTTGTTGCAAAAATGTAAAAATGTCATATTTGAAATTGGGATTCTTACTTAGACTCTTCTGGAGTGTTCTGTGATATACACAATATAAACCACATCAACATTCTAAAATCTTTTTGAATTCCAAAACAGATCTACCCTCAAAGGTTTCAAATAAAGGCTTGTGAATCTTTGCCAAGATTCACAAGGCTGTTAATTTTGTCTCTTTCTGCAATTTTCCATGTAGGATGTGGAAAAGATCCTTCAAAGTTTCCTTATTTGTGAAACAAGGGAAACTGTACTTATCTTGCCAACTTTAAAAAAGTTGTGGTAAAGGCAAACTATTGTATTCACAGATTAAAACATCACTCTAAGGCGCTCTGGTAGTGTAGTGGTTACGAATTGGGCTGCGAGCCACAAGGTCAGCAGTTTGAAACTACCAGCTGTTCCGCGGGAGAAAGATGAGGGGTTCTGCTCCCGTAAAGATTTACAGCCTCGGAAACCCTGTACAGGGTCACTATGAGTTGGAACCGACTCCACGGCACACACCACCACCACCAACAACAGGCCAATGGCACCTTGTGGGTCATCTGTCAAAAGCTATAAATTGGATTTGGTGGTGCTTCTGTCAATAATTACAGTAATGACCAGGGTATTTGGAGTTTTGAGCAAGTCTGTGTCAAAATCAAGCAATAACGGACTACCTCACTTCCTCTGCTTTCTACAGAATAGGGGGTGGCAGAGGTGGAAGCCACTATATGAATCCTGTACCCTGGGATTAATCATTTTGATGATATAGAGTCATCTTGTTAAACCTGATTTTATCAGGATTCTTTCTTTGCATTTTCCAAACTTTCCAGAGAAGGTGAATGCAGTGGATGGTTCGAGCTCTGGGCTTGGACCCTCATGACCCGGGGCTCAGTTCTGCCAGTCCTTACCCTCGTCAGCAGACCCACTTCCGAGTCCTGAGTGTAAGCTTTCTGGGAACTCTTCCTCCTCACTCAAGTCTGAAGAATTGTCATGTCTTGCCGCTGTAGAAAGGAACAAATATCTTTTGGAGGTCTCAGCATAGGACAAAGGAACCAAGCCAGAAGGTAATTCTACAATGAGAAAACTAGGAAAAACACTTGGAAAGCGCTGAAATTCTAGGAAAACTTATCTCTGTTTGCACACCTCCATGATCTGCCTTTTGCATTCATGTGATCTACAAGTTAGCATTTGATGACTCACTCTCTCTGTCTTTTAATTTGAACATTTTATTGTCGTTTGGGTGAAAGTTTACAGAGCAAGGAAGTTTTCCATTCAACAATTTATGCTCACTTGCTATCTTGTTGAATATCTGGGATTTTCTATGGGTAGGATTGTATCAACTGCAAATAGGGGTAGTTTTACTTCTTTCTTATCAATTTGGGAAAAAAAAGAGAGAGAAGCAGCAGCGGTAGTCTTGGAAGTGGTGGTGGTCTGGGAAGACCACTGGGGTGGGGGTGGTCACACCTTTGATCACTAGGAGGATGTGGGGGAGAGGTGGGTAGAGTACACTCATCTAATAACTGGTCACTGGCATGGGTGTCAGCGCTGGGGTTCTACGGTTTCTTCCCCTGGAGTCCAGTGTCATAAGATGCCTCTGCACAGGCTTCCTCTCCATGTGGGTCCACCCCAGTGACCAGATGAGTCCCTGTTTACTGACTCCCTCCTTGCTCTCTGCTCTGCTGAATCTCTGCACTTTCCTCCTGTGTTAGGTTTCACTCTGGATTTGTCTCTGTCTTGTTGGGGATTCTGTGAAGTTGGTGACATTGCCTTGCTGTGATTCTCAGTGTCTTCGTCCAGTCAGGGTTTGATGGAATACTTTCCAGGATTCTCAGCTGTGTCTGTTTCATGTGATTTCTCATGTATTTCTTGTAGAGGGTGGAGATTCTAAATAGGTCAATATCTTAGTTGTACCTCCCTCCTCTGTTGGGTCTACCACTCATCTGTCAGTTAGTTGTACTGTGATGACTCACAGGTTGCTATGCTGCTGAGAGCTACGCTTTGCTATTTCAAATACTAGCAGTGTAAACCCATGGTGATAGATTTCCGAAGAGTTTACAGACTAAGACAGATGAGGAAGAAAGACCTGGCGATCTACTTTTTAAAAAAAAACTTTGTATTGTGAATTGAGTGAAGGCTTGCAGATGAGATCATCAGTTTTATATTCAACAAATTATGCACTTTCTTTCATCTCAGTGATTGCAATTCCCTCCATGCAACAACAGTTATCCTATTTTCTCTCTGTGGTTCCTACTTCCATTCCACCATCCTTCCCATCTCTTCTCAACTTTGTCCTTAGGAAAATGTTGCCCTTTTGATTTTGAATGATTGACCATTCCATGGGGAGCGGACCTCATTAGTGCTGTTGTTCCACTATAAACCTATCTACTGCTTGTCTGAAAATTGGGCCACGAGGGTGTTTCTTTCCAATCATGCAGGGTTGCCAATGGCTATAGTCTCGAGTTCATACAGACTCTTTATGATCAATAAGCCTGGTCTTTTTTCAATTTTAATTTTTTTATAATTTTGAGTTTTGTTCCACATTTTCTCCCACTCTAACTGGGACCTTCTAATGTGATCCTTCTCAGAGCAGTTGGTAGTGGTAACCAGGCACCATCTTGTTCTTCTGGTCTGAGTCATGGAGTGCATGTTCCATTAGTCCATGGGACTAGTTGCTTCCAAGTGTCTTCAATTCTTATCACTCTTCTTTCTTCTGCACATGGAGAGACCTATAGCTGCTCTTTTGATGGCCTCTCATGAGCTTTTAAAAGCCTAGGTGTTACTCTGGTGATCTGCTTCTGAAAATTAGCCAATGAAAACCTCATGGACTGCAACACAATGTGGTCAGATTTGCTTGCTTTGGACATTTCATCAGGAGGGACCATTATTAAAGGATGACATCATGGTTGGTGAAGTAGAGGGAGCAAGGTCCTGGATGAGATGGACTGGCATACTGGCTTCACCAATGGGCTTGAACTTTCTGGTGACTGCCGAGAGCATGATGCAGGAGTGGGCCATGTTTGCCCTGTTCTAAAGAAGAGGAGAGTAATCAAAATACTCTAGACCTCAAGAAGAACAAACCAGTCTATGTTGGAAGAAGGATAGCCAGAATGCTTCTTGATAGCCAGGATGGCCAGACTTCACCTCTCATGCTTCAGCTATATAATCACGAGGGACCAGTCCCTGGAGAAGTGCATTATGCTTGGTAAACTGGAGGGTCGAAGAATAAGAGGGAGACCACCAGTGTGATGGATTGGCACAATGGCAGCATTAATGGGCTCAAAGGTAGTAACAATTGTGAAGTTGGCCCAGGACTGGGCACTGTTGTCCGTAGGGTCACCTGACAATAACAACAGTGGTCACCATGGCTTGGAGTTGAATCAATGGCAACTGACAACACTAACAACCTCTCCTGAGTGTGAGGATGAGAAAACTACACCCACAATGACTTTCTTTGCTTTGTGTTGATCATTGGTCTTCTTATACCTCATTCAATTTCTTCTTTTACTGGTCTCTTTATAGATTTTGTGTTTGTTTACTGGTGCTGTATCTGTTTATTTATGCCTTTGTTTTTCTTCCAGGGCTACCTTGTTAGTCTGTTACTGAACACAGCAGATCCTTACTTGGATGCTCCCCTGAGTCTTTGACACAGAGCCTCTCCCCTTCCCAATTTAAACATCCTTAGAGTGCTTACTTGAGAAACAAAGAAAGTTCCTATTGTGTTTGAGTTCCTTACTTCCTTGGGTTTATACATTATTGCAGCGAGTCTACCAAACTCATAAAACCAGCTGCTATCAAATCAATTCTTACTCATAGCAAGCTCAAAGGTTTCAGAGTAGAACTGTACTTCATAGGGGTTTCAATGGCTGCGATCTTTCATAAGCTAATTATCAGGACTTTCTTCTGAGGTGCCTCTGGGTAGATGTGAACCACCAACCTTGTGGCTAGTAGTGACTGAACCACCCAGGGACTTTTACCTAATACGAAAGTTAAAATAGGAGCCATCTAAGATTAAAACAAATTTATATTTTACTTTGAAGGATATAGCAAAGAATTAGAATTAATCTTTTGAAAAATATAACAATTCTCATTTGTAAGCACAAGAGTTCTTATTTTATCTTACCTCTTTTTCTTAACAGGAGTGATACACTGAGATCCATAGGCTCTATAAGTAAAGAAGGGAAAAGAGTTATTTGTACATAAAAGACTTACAAACTCTACGACTATTCACACTGCAGATGGATTTGTAATTATGATGGTTTTTGATGTTCATTGCCCTCTTTTTCCTTCGACTGAATCCAGTTCTGGTGGTCGAGGGTCATAGCTGGAAGCCTGCTGTATTCTTTTTATGAACTCACCATGCATATTTGTAAATGACTCTTCAACATTACTAGATTTGGTTTCCTCATCTATAAATCAGGGATAACCTAATTACTTGATAGGGTTTTTGTGATGATAAGATGAAACTTGATTTATAAATGTCCTATGGGAAATCACAATATAATGGCTTAATTATAATTGGGTTTGAGAGTAGCTGCTCTGAAGCTGTTTTTTGGCTGTCAACAATTTAAAATCAGTACAAATTATTCTTTGAAGACTTTCTAGATTTGTCAGTAATGGCTCCGTATCAACCGACAGAAAAGTTGTCTGCTTACTGTTGTTGTTGTTGTTATGTGCCGTGGAGTCGGTTCTGACTCATAGTGACCCTGTACAGGGTTTCCGAGGCTGGAAATCTTTACTGGAGCAGAAAGCCTCATCTTTCTCCCACAGAACAGCTGGTAGTTTCGAACTGCCAACCTTGTGGTTCACAGCCTGATTCGTAACTACTACACTACGAGAGCTCCTTCTGCTTACTATAGTCTACAGAATATAAAAGATGGTTGTGGTGGAAAAAGTACATTATTAACAGAAGAAAGCATTGCCTGGTCCTATGGTGCTATAGGATAAACACTGGACTGCAAGGTTGATTTAAGTCTAAAGGAGTTGTTTCAAACCCACCACCCATTCCTCGGAAACCCTATACAGGTTCGCTATGAATCAGAACAGACTACCTTAACAAAATCAACATGCCATCTTCATGATTGTTGGTAAGCTTAAGCCCATTCTTGTTGACATTGTGTATTTTTAATGCCTTACAACCTAGGGGCTCATCTTTCAGCACTCACTACATCAGACAGTATTGTGTTGTGATCCATAGGTTTACATTGGCTAATTTTCAGGCCTTTCTTCATAATCTGTCTTAACCCGGGTACTCGGCTGAAACCTGTCCGCATGGGTGACCCTGTTGGGATCTGAAAGACTGATGATATAAATTCCAGCATCACAGCTCCACACAAGCCACTACAGAACAACAAACTGACAGATGGATGACGAAAGAGATAAGACAGTGTGTAATCAAAAACACACCTGCATTTTACCAGCGTATTTTTTTTACTAACATTTCAATGTATAAACCGACGAGTCTATCCAGCTAAACTGCAGTCTATGTCTTCTTGCCTCCTTTTTAGTTCTCAATGGAGTCAGAAAAGTTAAATGTAGAAAGTGCTATCCTGGAAGTCACAGAATCAAGGGACATGGAAGATACTCAAAATAAAATTCATAAGGAAAATGGAGCTCTGGATTAGGCTCTGGATATTTTGCAGTTTAGAATTTGCAATCCTAATATTCTTACCTGGTGTCGCTTGGGATTGGGAACAGGTGGCTTCTTGGGACTCTTCCTCTTGAATGGAATCCCAGAAGCCAGAGTAATTGGCCACTGCTTAAAATAATAAGATTCTTTAGTACTCTCAGAATGTGATCAAGGAACGAATTCAGCAGGAAATTTCAAAGAAAGAAAACCTGGAAAGACTTTGAAAACCCATGGCCTACAACCAAGTCCCTCTTCCACGGTCAACTGCCTAGTAGACTAATGATGCTTCATGTTCTGACCCCAAAAGCTGAGACAACTGCTCAATACAGGTAGCTTGGCTTTGTTTGACCCCTGCCTTTCTGTCTCTTTTATGCCTTGTCCTTCCTACCTGCCATTCCACATCGTTTTCAATTCTACTTCTGTTTCTCATGCAGAGAGACCTTGAAGCCCCCGTGTGAGAGAAGGCGGAGCCTCTACAACTTGGAGTGCCTCAAGATCCCTCTATTTAAACCCCTCTTTGAACTATTGGCAAGGCTGAAAAGTAATCTTCTCTTGTGTTTGAGACATACACATATTTTGGGATTATGTTTCAGAGCAGTTTACTTACGCTAAGACAAACGTTAGAAGGCACATTGACATAAATTCATATTTTACTTGTTGTTGTTGTTGTTGTTAAGTGCCGTCGAGTCGGTTCCGACCCATAGCGACCCTGTACTGGGTTTCCGAGGGTGTAAATCTTTACGGGAGTAGAAAGCCTCATCTTTCTCCCACGGAGCAGCTGGTAGTTTCGAACCGCTGACCTTAAGGTTCGCAGCCCGATTCGTAACCACTACGCTACCAGAGCTTTTACTTAGAAATATATAATAATTAGAATAGATGTATTTGAAAAAATACTGTTCATATGTAATATTAAGACCAGGAACCACTTTTATTTGTTCTTAGGTATTTATCTAGTGTGTTTTCCCAAAATAGATATGTTTACTTTGAATCTACAAATTAAAAAAGGAAGTGAAATAACCAATTAACACCCTGAAGAGTTTTAAATATTTTGACAACTCATGCTGCAGATAGAATTAAGATATTACAACATTTTGATAATCATTACTGTTTCTCATCTTATAAGGGAAATAATTCCATTGGTTGCTTGGAAACCCTATACATGGTTACTATGAGTTGAACCAACTTGATGGCAATTAAGAACGACAATGAAATAGCTGCGCGATTCCAAACTTCTCATCTAGAAAATGGGGCTAACATTGTATCTGTTCTGTTTACCTCATAAGGTTGTTGTGAAGGAAAAATGAAGATATTAATTATGAAAATCCTTTGAAAAATTATTGTATATATGCTATGACCTGTTACCACTACTTGTTCATCAGTTTGTCCCATTGTGGTAGCTTGAGTGTTGTTGTGATTCTGGAAGCTATGCCACTGGAATTTTGAATGCTGGCAGGGTCACCTATGGTGGACCGGTTTCAACTGAGCTTCCAGATTAAGACAAACTTGGGAGAAGGAGAAGTGGATTACTTCTGAATGCTTAGCCACTGAAAACCTTAGGAATAGGATTGAAACACTGTCACATAGCACCAGAATATAGAATACTGTGACATGATGAAGAGTGCCAGAATATTGTCAGTTATAGTGCCAGAAGATGAGCTCCTCAGGTTGGAAGGCACTCAAAATAGGATTGGAGAAGAGAGGTCTCCTCAAAGAGAGTTGAACATGATGACACGAATGGAGTAAAGCTTTTGGAACCTTCTTTACTGATGAGGCACAACTCAAAATGAGGAGAAACAGCTGCAAACATCCATTAATAATCGGAACATGGAAAGTACGAAGTATGAATCTAGGAAAACTAGAAGTTGTTAAAATGATATGGAACATTGATATCCTAGGCAGATATCATATATACATTGATATCCTAGGCATTAGTGGGTTAATGCTCTGGACTGCTAGGTCAGTTTGACCTGCAAGGTTAGTGGTTCAAGCTCACCAGCCACTCTTCAGAAACCCTATAAGGGTCTCAGTGAGTTGGTACCAACTCAATGGCCCTTAACAATAATAACAATAGTGAGTTGAAAGGGACCGGTACTGGCCATTTTGAATCTAACAATCACATGGTTTACCATGCCAGGAATGACATTGCATTCATCATCAAAAAGAATATTTCAAGATTTATCTTGAATTATAATGCTGTCTGTGATAGGATAATATCCATATGCCTACAAGGAAGACCAGTTCATACCACTATTATTTAAATTTTTGCATCAACCACTAGAGCCAGTGATGATGAAATTGGAAGAATTCTACCAGCTTCTTCAGTCTTAAATTGATTAAACATGCAATCAAGATGTATCCATAATTACTGGCAATTGGAATGCAAAGGCTGGAAACAAAAAGGACGAATCAGAAGCTGGAAAATATGGCTTTCGTGATAGAAATTATGCTGGAGATTGCATGATAATATTTTGCAATACCAGTGACATGGTGGTGGTAGTGGCTATGTGTCGTGGAGTCAGTTCTGATTCATAGTGACCCTGTACAGTGTTTCCAAGGCTGCAATCTTTATGGGAGCAGAAAACCTCACCTTTCTCCCACACAACAGTTGGTAGTTTTGACCTGCTGACCCTGAGGTTAGCAGCCTGATTCGTAACAATTATGCTACCAGAGCTCCTTTTAAACACCATAAAAGATGACTATACACATGGACCTCACCAGACGTAATACACAGAAATCAAATTGATTACATCTGTGGAAAGAGATGGTGAAAAAGCTCCGTATCATCAGTCAAAACATGATGAGAAGCAGAGTGTGGAACAGACTATCAATTGCTCATATGCAAGTTCATGCTGAAGCTGATGAAAATTAAAACAAGTCCATGAGAGCCAAAATAGGACCTTGAATATATCCCACCTAATTTTAGAGATCATCTCAAGAACAGATTTGATGCATTAGGCTCTAATGACAAAAAATAAGAGTTGTGGCATGACATCAAGAACATCATATAGGAAGACAGCAAAAGGTCATTAAAAAAAACAAGAAAAAAAGGAAAGACCAAAATGGATGTGAGAAGAGACTGAAACTTGCTCTCTAATACAGACATGTTAAAGTAAATGACGGCATGAGGAGGTAAAAGAGCTGAACACAAAATTTCAAAGGGAAGCTCTAGAAGACAAAGTCAAATATTATAATGAAATGTACAAAGGTCTGGAGTTAGAAAATCAAAAGGGAAGAACATGCTCAGTACTTCTCAAGCTGAAAGAATAGAGGGGAAAAAATTCAAGCCTCGACTTGAAAGATCAAAGGATTCTCTGGGCAAACTATTGAAAGATGCAGAAAGCATCACAAGAAGATGGAAGGAATATACTGAGTTACTGTACCAAAAATAAATGGTTGATGTTCAACCATTTCCAGAGGTAGCATATGACCAAGAACCAATGGTACTGAAAGAAGAAGTCCAATGTGCACTGAAGGCAATAGTAAAGAATAAAGTTCTAGGAATTGATGGATATCAACTGAAATCTTTCAACAAACTGATAGAGCACTGGAGACACTCACTCATCTATGCCAAGAAATTTGGAAGACAGCTACTTGGCCAGCTGATGGGAAGAGATCCATATTTGTGCACATTAGAAAGAGAGGTAATCCAAGAGAATGCAGAAATCATCGGACAAAATCATTACTAACACATGCAAGTAAATTTCTACTAAAGATAACTCAAAAGCAGCACCAACGGTACATTGATAGGGAACTGCAAGAGGTTCAAGTAGGTTTCAAGGATGTGGAATGAGGGATATCACTGCTGACATCAGATAGATCTTGGTTGAAAGCAGAGAATACCAGAAAGATGTTTACCTGTGCTTTATTGACTATTCAAAGTCTTTAGACTGTGTGAACATGACAAGCTATTTGGAGAATGAGTATTCCGGAACACTTAATTGTGCTCACGAGGAACCTACCTGTACATAGACCAAGAAGCAGTTGTTTAAATAGAACAAGGGGACACTGAATGGTTTAAAATCAGAAAAGGTGTGTGTCAGGGTTATATTCTTTCACCATACTTATTCAGTCTGTATGCTGAGAAAATAATCTGAGAAGCTGGATTATATGAAGAAGAAAGTGGAGTTAGGATTTGAGGAAGACTCATCAACAACCTGTGATATGCAGATGATACAACCTTGCTTGCTGAAAGCGATGTGGACTTAAATACTTACTAATGAAGATTGAAGACCACAGCCTTCGATATGGGTTGCACTTCAATGTAAAGAAAACAGAAATTCTCACCACTGGACCAATAAATAATATCATGATAAATCAAGAAAAGATTGAAGTTGTGAAAGACTTCATTTTGCTCAGGTCAACCACTAACACTCATGGAAGCAACAGTCAACAAATCAAATGTGTATTGGCCATAGGCAAATCTGCTGCACAAGACCTCTTTAAGGTTGTCAAGAGCAAAGACGTCAGTTTGAGGACTTAAGTGCACCTGACCCAAGCCATGAAAATTTCAACAGCCTCGGATGCTTTTGAAAGTTGAACAATGAATAAGGAAGACTGTAGAAGAATTCATGCATGTGAATTATGGTGTTGGAGCAGAATATTAAAGGTACCATGGATTCCAAAAGAACTAACAAATCTGTGTTGGAAGAAATACAACCAGAATGCTCCTAAGAGCCTAAGATGACCAGACTTCATCTGTCATACTTCAGACATGTCATCGGGGGGGACCAGTCCCTAAAGAAGGACATCATGTTTGGTAAAAGAGAGGGACAGTGAAAGAGAGGGAGACTCAAAGCAAGGTGGATTAGCACAGCTGCAGCAACCATGGATTCAAGTGTGCAATTGAGAGGATTGCGCAGGGCCGGAAGTGTTTCCTTCTATTGTACATAGCGTATCAATGAGTTGGAACCAATTTGATGGCATCTAACAGCAACAACAAATGACCTGTTGAAGAATTTAGTCAAGAGTTATACTTTCATTTTCAGAACACAGGAACCAAATCCTTTTTTATGCTACCATTACAAAGCTGGATGAGTTGGTCTTTGACATTTTCCCCAAAGTTTGTGATCAAATGATAATACGATCTTCTAATAGAGGAATATTTAGCTGTCTGTTCCTTCTAATAGTTAAAGGAGAATGAGGACTAAAACCACCATGTAAATCCCAAACTTCATAGCATTGATAGGTATATCAATTCATTTTTTAAAAATAAACTCATTGTCACTTTGCAAAGACATTTCTACTCTAGCCACAGAATCAGTTGTCATGGAGGTGATTCTGGGTCCTGTGTCTCCATGTGTGACAGAACAAAACTGTGCTCTATTCAATGGCCAGCCTCTCTTTCAAGGTGCCTCTGGGTGGCCTTGAACCTCCAATATTTCGTTTAGCAGCTGAGTGTGTTAACCATTTGCAACACTCAGAGTCTCCTATTTCTACCATAAAACAAATACATGAGCACATATATTGACTAACACCAGACAAAAAATCTCATTGTTGTTGAAACAGTTCTAACTCCATAGACAGAATAGAACTGCCCCTAACGTTTCTAGGGTTAGAAATCTGTAGGATAAGCACTGGACTGCAAACTATAAGGTTGGTGGTTTGAACCCACCAGCTGCTCCATGGGAGAAAGACGAGGCTTTCTGCTCCCACAAAGATTTCCAGCCTCGGAAACCCTGTACAGAATCGGAGTCCAAAGGCACTTAACAACAACAACAACAAATCCTTACAGAAACAGACCACCACGTCTCTCTCTTGAGGAGTGGCTGGTGGCTTTAAACTGTTAGCAACTGAGCACTTTAAATATTGAGCAATCAGGGCACCTTTATACTGATTAATAACCACCACCCCCCAAACCAAATTTATTGTCAGCAAGTTGATTCAGACCCATAATGACACTATGTAGGGGTTTCTGAAACTGCAAATCTTTATGGGAGTATACAGCTTCATCTTTCTCCTTCATTGTGGCTGGTGAGTTTGAACTGCCTACCTTGTGGCCAGAAGTCCAGAGTCTAACCCACAGTGCCAGAAGGACTGCTTAGATGGATTAATGTTGTTATGGTTGTTAAGTGCCATTGAGTCAGTTCTGACTCGTTGATCCTGTATAGAGAGAGTTTCCCTGTTCAGGGTTTCCAAGGAGTCCTGGTGTGGCACTGCAGGATAATCTACTAGGCCAGTTTGAACCACAAAGTTGGTGGTTCAAACCCTCCAACTGCTTCTTGGAAATCCTAGACAGGGTCACTCTGAGTCGGAACTGACTCGAGGACATTTAACAACAACAACAGTGTTTCCAAGGCTGACCTTCTGGCTAGCAATCCAGTGCTTATCCTACAATGGCACCAGATCTCCAATTTTGATTAATGCGCTGTTGCTGTTAAGTGTCACTGAATAGGTTTTGACTCATAGCAACCCTGTGTAGGGTTTCCAAGGAGCATCTGGTGGGTTAGAACCGCCAACCTTGTAGTTTGTTTATGGTTAGCAGTCCATTGCTTACTCTACAGCGCCACACCTCCCCTCAATTAATAGGTATCATCTTTAAAACAAATTTACAATAATTTCTTGTCTCTGTTTGTTTCCCAAAGGATCAAGTGGAATAAATACAGAATGTGATCTCAGGATAAACTGGATTCATTGAATGGGTTCTAGTTAAACAGTCAGATTCCTGCAGCCAACCTTTCTTACCCGGCTGGCTTCTTGGTGTTGAGGTGGAGGTTTCTGGGGGCTCTCCTTCCTCAGTGGAGTCTTCAGAGTCATCACTACTGATCACTACAGAAAGAACAAAGCCCCTCAAGGGTCTCATGGTGGGGTCAGGAAGCTCATGCAGCAGATAGTCCCATAGTAAGAGCACCAGGAGGTCCCTGGAAGCTAAGTTAACTCAAAACACCCTGACTCTTCCTTGAATATGTGTGCTCTGCATGTTGCTGCAGGTTCTAACTCAGATGCTGATTAAATTCACTCACAGGGGGCAGCTCTGCCATCCTGCTGACACACTTCTCACCTTCCCTCGCTCAGGGATCCTTATCTCTCCATCATCCACTACTTTCCTACCTTCCTTCTGCTTCTTAACCTTTTCCTCTTGGCCCTGCCCATTTCCCTCACCTCCGTCTGTTTCAGCAATGCTACATCTTTGTACTTCTGTCTCCATCTCCTCTTGTAAATCCCTTGTTGTTATTATTCAGTGTCAATAACCCTGTATAGGGTTTCCGAGGAGCAGCCGATGAGCTTGAACTGCCGACCTTGCAGTTCAAATGGCTTTGCAGTCTGACACATTAACCCACAGCACCACACTAGGACTCCTGCGAATCCCTTGGTTCCCTAATATTTTTCTTTTCTCTTAACTCCCATTCCCATGCCTTCCTCTCTTGTTTTATGAATAGCTTCTCTAACATCAGCACTTATTATCCCCATTTCTGGCTTCTTCTATTTTTCCATTTCCTGCAGACTTTCTTCTCTTAAGCTGAAGCTCACTGCAACAGAGGCTAATCCATATCCCTCTTGCCTCTATCCAACCCTACCTGGATTGCTCAGTGGACCCTGATGATGGGCCTCAGCCCTTAACTTAGTACCTGTGAGCCATACTTATCAATGCTTCCAGTCAGTCTCACCTATTATGTCGGATGCCTGCTTACACTTAGCTGTTGCTTGGGATCCTGCACAATGACATGGCTTTTCCTTCTTTATATCCACCAGGAGCACAGTACATGAATTGACTTTGGTTCCATGTGTGAGTAGCTCTTCCCCTGGACCAAATTGTAATTAGTGAAGAATTTTCACTTGTCTCTCCATGAGTACCCTTCATTACCATCAAAAATGCCTTCTTCCTACAATTTCAGGGGTAATGCTTCATCCCCCCACTTGTACCTTGTTCTGTGTCACTCTTAACTCTGTTTTTTTTTTTTTTTTAAAGTTCTCTTTTTTACTTACGCTTCTTCCAAGGTGCCTCTGGGAGTGGGTTTAAACCGCTAACCTTTTGGTTACTAGTTCAGCAAATGATCCACACTTCGCATCACCCAGGGGATCCCCCAAGAGTTATAATCATGGTGGCGGTAACTAACAACAACAGGACTAGGAGGGAGGCAGTTAGTATGGGGAAACAAAGCAAAGCTTTATCTGTCATATTTAAATGAAGATAGAATTAGAAATCTGGTAACATAAATAATAATTACTTTCTGCATTCCATGGCAATAGGCTGGGCATCTCCTGTCTTGCATCTCTACAATTCCTTTGGAGAGTTACTTGTTCAGAGGACCCTGAAGATAAAAGGCCAAGGTTGAGACCAGAGTCTTTTTCTGTCTCTATTTCCATGTCCTTACACCTTGTCTTCCCTCTCTCTTGCTTGTGTTCACACTGACAGCCCGATCTCCACACACTGCCGTCACTGCTTACTTGAAGGTATGTGTGCATCTTTCATTGTGCTACTTCTCCTCTCAAGCACCTCACTTACCACCTGCTTCTTCCCTTCTTCCCCTGTGATACTCTGTACCTCTCTCCCGTCATCTTTCTGTGTCTTCTTTTGACTTTGTACCTTTATATTTCTTCTATGTTATATATCAGGTTCCATTCCTTACTCAGTGTCTCTGCATAATTTCCCTTCTTTCTTAAATAGATACCTCCTCCCGTGGCACATGAATCCATTCCCCTGTAACCAGCCAGGGCCCTCTGGTCCTACACCCATGAGCACATAGTCAAGCTTTACCTGCAGGTTCACATTCGTGGGCACTGGCTTCATTGGTTTGTTGGCTTCCCGGTGCATCATTTTCATCACTGGATGAATCTTTTCTCTTTGCGTTCTTCTGTCCTGTTTCATAGAGAATCTCTGAGACTCCACTTTCAGATAGGATTGTATCAAAACCACATTTTGATTCACATGTTACTTGCTGCCTGTATCAATCAGGACTCAACAGGAAAGTATAAACCAGCCTGGTGTAGTGGTTGCGAATTGGGCTACGAACCACAAGGTCAGCAGTTCGAAACTACCAGCTGTTCCGTGGGAGAAAGATGAGGCTTTCTGCTCCCGTAAAGATCTCCAGCCTCGGAAATCCTGTACAGGGTCGCTATGAGTCGGAACTGACTCCACAGCACATAACAACAACAACAAAGCACTTAAAGGAGAAAGAATGTAATTCAAGGTGTTGGTTACAGGTGATGGATGGGCTAAGAAGACCCCCAGAGAAGGGTCAACAGAAAGCTGCAGGAAGGACCAAGGGTGCACCCAGGGATCATGTGGCTAATGAGTGAGTGTTATTTGTTGTTACGTCGGTTCCAACCCACAGCGACCCTGTATAGGGTTTTCCGAGGAGCAACTGGTGAGCTTGAACAGCCAACTTTGAAGTTCAAACGGTTTTGCAGTCGCCATATTAACCCACAGAGCCACATCATGGTGGTGGTAGCTGTGTGCCGTGGAGTCAGTTCTGACTCATAGTGACGCTGTACAGGGTTTCCAAGGCTGTACACCTTTACGGGAGCAGAAAGCCTCATCTTTCTCCCACGGAACAGCTGGTAGTTTCGAACTGCTGACCTTGAGGTTCACAGCCAGATTCGTAACCACTACGCTACCAGAGCTCCTTGAGCCATACCATAGAAGCTGAAAAATGCATGGAATAGATGGGAGGAGGTGGAGCCATTGACAGCCACTGCCAGAACTGCTACGTGAGGCAGGGAGGGAGAAAGGAAATGCCCCCACTTCTCCCACTGAAGGAATGGAGCAGGAAGTCAGCTAGCAAGAGAAGTTGAGGAGCAAACCTTGCAGAGGTCAGTGCCTAGCGGTAACCAGAGAACAGAGCAGGGGAAGGGGAAGGCAGGGATCCAAACACAAAGACATCTCCTCTTCCTCCAGGGCATTTCAAGACCAATGCCATCTACACATTTCACTCTGTTGCCCCAGGATGTGAATGGCCAAGTTTATTTTTTCAGCATAGTTTAGATTTTTTTTTTTCATTCAGTGAGATTTTTCTAAATAAAAGCATTAATTTTTTAAAGAACGGTTTTTAAAAAAATAGCTCCAAATTTCAAGATAGAATTTGGTATTGGATGCATTTTTTTCTGTCACCATCTTTGAGCCTTGAAGTCCCTCTTTGGGTCTGAGTATGAGACACAACTTGTAGCCCACCCATGCACCTCACAGCTGTTCTTGCTGCTGCAGGCTCCTGGAGCACATTCACTGTGCTCCTTTCGCATCACTTGGATGACAGGTGGAAACCTCTCTCTTTATACATATCCTCTCCCCATCAGCGAGATGCTCCAGGATTCCAGAAGAGCAATCCCTCCACCACATTGTGAGTTACTAAGCACTGACTTGTTCCCATCTCCACACACTGCACCTCTTCACTGCTCAGTATTAATCACCATCCATTCATTCACTCTTCCTTTTCCCATGTACTAGCAGATGAACAGTGGAGAAGAGAATCCAGCCACTTAGCATTTTAAAATTCCTTTTGAATGTTAGTTTTTTGTTTTTTAAAAATATAGAACTATGAGTTTTAAAAGTGTACTCAGGCTTAGAAATGAGACCAGACAGTGTTTCCTTCTGCTGTGCATAGGGTCGCTATAAATTGGTGCCGATTCAATGACACATAACAACAACAACAACAAAGGAGTCCTGGCGTGGCATTGTAGGATACGCATGGTCAGTGGTTCAAACTCACCAGCTGTTCCTTGGAAATACTATACAAGGTCACTATCAGTCGGAAATGACTGGATGGCACTGAACAACAGCAACCTGCTTCTGCTAACTGTCCTGAAAGTCCGTTTTCTTTTATAAAAATGCATTGTTGCTATTGGGTGTCTTTGAGTGGACTTCTTCTCATAGTGCCCACAGCTGAAAAATCACCAGTCTCTCTAAACTCTTCTCCTTCTGAAAAACTGGGGTGGTAGGCTGCCATCAAAAATTTTAGGGGGAAGATATGAAGTGAAATTTACAGTAAAAATAAAATCATTAGAATTAATGTCAAATTGAAAATATTTTCGACATTAATATTTTATCATGCAATACTATGCATATTAGAGTCCTGGTGTGGCATTGTGGGTTAATGTGCTGGACTGCAAAGTCCGTTTGAACCTCAAGGCTGGTGGTTTAAGCTCACCAGTTGCTCCTTGAAAACCCTATACAGGGTCGCTATGGGTCAGAACTGACTGGACAGAACCGAACAACAACAACATGCATAATATTAATGAAAGATCAGGAGTATAAAACTGTGGTTACTGGTTACTAAATTATAGTTTAATTTAGTATTGAATTATGCAGAGTATTAATGAAAGATCAGGAGTAGAAAACAGTGGTTACTGGTTACTAAATTACCAAAAGGTCTTTGTGGAGGCCCATCTGGTGTTTGGAGGGCAGCTCCTGGTCTGATACCCAGGAGAGATGGGTGATGGTGTTATACGGAGGGGGGCCCCACAGAAGGTACTCTCTCACCACTCCTTTGATGCCCCTTTATATCTCAGCACTGGCCCCCCCTGGACGTGATGTCAAAGCACCAAGGGGGCAGAACAGACTCAAGCAGGACAGAAGCCGCAAACTGCACAGCCAGGCACCTGGGACAGTCAGTCCCAGAGTCCCTTGGGCTCAGCAGAAGCTGTGCTTGAGGAGTTAGGGAAGCAGTCATCCTCCTGAGCAGCTTGGAGGATAAAGACCTTGTTTCTCCTGAATGAGGAGAACTTGCAGATACAAAGACTGAAAGTTCCGGGGGATGCAGCTCTCACAGCACATTCCAGAATGGGACAAGAAAGCCAAGAATCACAGAGAGCAGAGTCAAGAGGAACAGACCAACATGAGATGAGAAATCTGCATGTGACCAGGGCAGGCTTCGGTGAGAGTTGGCATCGGTTCCTGGGGGAACAGAAATTAGAAGTTCATTTCAGACAGTGAAGTAGAGGTTTTGTTATTCTAACCTAAGCCCTTCTTTAGTCTTTATTACACAGAGCTAAAGACCCCTTCTCTATCAAGACCCCATTGGGACCTGGTGGATCCTATTGGACTCTTGCAGTCAGACTCCAGCCCCCAGACTGAATCAGCTGCAACCCTGGGTGAAAGCTTCACCAGACTAGCTCCCCTGAGTATCCTCCATGACTCATCCTGACACCCCTGCCACAGAGAACCTGCTTTTACCCCCAGAGCAGCACCTGCCTGGTGGGCTCACCTGACATCCTACAAAATCCTGTTGGCTCCTCCTCACTACCCTTTTATACCACACACTCTCTACGCATTGTTCTTGTTGTCCTCAAGTTGTTTTCTACTAATAGCGACCCTGTATGGGGTTTCTGAGGAGCAGCTGGTGGGTTTGAACTGCTGACCTTGTGGTTCGCAGTCCAGTGCTGATCTTACAGCGTCACACCTGAAGAACTATACATAGTCACTCACCCTCCCCTTGGGCTTCCCATGAGGATTTCAGTGTCTGATCTTTCTCTATATCCTTCAAATCTTACTGTATCTTCCCCCCATCTTTCTTTCTCTCTCTATAAATATTTCCCCATTTTTGTTTCATGTTTATGTCTTTTCCACTAGACTAACTAAGCAGATGTGTGAGGTTAAGAATGACAACTCTGAGTTCTAAAGGCCTGAATTGTTGCACTGTTGAGTTGGTTCCGACTCGTAGGGACCCTGTACAGGGTTTCCAATGAGCAGCTGGTAGGGTTTGAACTGCTGACCTTGCAGGCAGCCGTCTGGTGCTTATCCGACAGTACCACACCAGGGCTCTGAATGCCTGGATTAGTTCTTGCTTGTTTGACTTTAGGCATATCACATATGCAAAGGAGCCTTTGTGGCATAGTAGTTCAGTGTTTGCTGCTAGTTAAAAGGTCAGTGGTTCGAACACATCAACAGCTTTATGGAGGAAAGACATGGGTGTCGGCTTCTGTAAAGATTTATAGCCTTGGAAGTCCTATGGAGCAGTTCTACTGTCTTATAGGGCCACTGTGAGTTGAAAAAGGAGCTCTGGTAGCATACTGGTTACCATTGGTCTGCTAACCTCAAGGTCAGCAGTTCGAAACTACTAGCCGTTTTGCAGGAGAAAGATGAGGCTTTCTGCTCCCGTAAAGATTTATAGCCTCGGAAACCCTATGCAGGATCGCTATGAGTCGGAACCAACTCCATGGCACACCACCACCACCATGAATTGGAAATGGGGTTTTTAATGGGCAAATCCCATACATGGCTTCTAGATTTCAGTTTCCTTATCTGCAAAAGAGGCATAATCCTAACGTCAAGGGGCAGCTGTGAGGATTGATCCATAGTCACCTGAAGTAAATGCTCAGTACAAGTGAGCTGTTAGTTATGACTTCTTGATTGCTGTCCTTTGCCCCCTGCCCCTCTCTTATTTTTTATTTAAAAAAATATATTTTACTGTGTTTTAAGTGAAAGTTTACACAACAAGTTAGGTTCTCATTTAACAAACATTATACAAATATTATATAAATTGTTCTGTGACATTGGTTACAATTTCACACTATCTCAGCATTCTCATTATTTCTCTTCTGTTGGTTCTGTTTCCATCGATCTAGCTTCCTTTCCCCTCCTTGCCTTTTCATCTTTGCTTCTGGGTAACTGTTTGCTGTTTGGTTTCATACAGTTGGTTGTTTAGGGAAGCACATTACTTATAAGTACTATTGTTTATTTTATAAGCCAACCTACTCCTGCCCCTCTCTTTTATTTCCCCTCCTTCTTTGCTTTCTCAAAATGTTTACATCCTCCTCCTACACATCTCTGTCCCCACCTTTCATTGCCTTTCTATATGACTGCCTCCCCAGTCTTGACGCTCTTAAGCCAACACCCTCCTCGGCTTAACTCCGCTCCTCCTTCTGCCATCAAGAATCTCCTCTTTGATGCTTACCATAAGCTTTAGTTTTTGACCCTTCACAGTTTCATAATGACCTTTCTAACTCATAGTTACTTCCAAGTATTACCATGAAATCTGGGTTTAATGTGATACCCTGGGTTCTACTTCAACCAACAGTGTTTTGCTCTGAGGCTCCACATCGAGTTAGGAGTTCAAACAGACCCTTAGCATTTCTTCTCTGATTAAAATCTCCACTTTGTAACTGGATCTCTTAGATCCCTCCCACCATAAGAGACAAGTAAAGCAGTTTTTATCCAGTTAGAATTACCTTGATCAAGGCTTGGTTGAATGACAAACCAGTCTTCTTCCTCACTAAGTTGAAGATTAAATTTCTCTTTGATCACTGAAGACAGGAATAAAAAGGAAATTAGAGATCTCCACCAGAAACCAGGACTCCTGATGTGGTGGTGTAGGATAAGCACTAGACTGCAAACCACAAGTCGGTAGTTCACCGTTCACACCCACTAGGTGCTCCTCGAAAATTCTATGCAGAATTGTTATCAATTGGAACCGACTCAATGGCACTTAATAAGAACAACATAACAACAATACAGACCAGGGACAACAACTTATAATCACCAATGTAGGTTCTTCCAACATGTGGGCGACTCGGAGCCTAGAGGCTCTCCGGTGACCAGAAGGTCTCCCATCCTCAGAACACCCCCAACAAGGACCCATTATGCTGCCCATACACAAAGTTGCTCCTCAAAATTTAAGAATGAAGGGTTAGTGGGAATGTTGTATGTAGTATTTGCTGACCTAGAAAATGATCAGATGGCAGGAAAACATACATAAAAATAAATAATAGAAGTGAAATATGTTTTCTGAGTTATTCAAGCTAAGAAAAGAAACGGAATTTCTAGGGACAGGGTTTAGATCATAGAGAAATCAAGCCCTATAACACAGAAAGAGCCAACAGCTTTAAAAAATGAGTCTAGAAAAGGGGATTTAGCCTTGAAAGGGTCTGGGAGGAGAAAGGACAAGGGGGAGGACTGAGATGAACTTCGGGGTGGAAAGGTGGGGGTGAGGCGGCCAAAATCAGAGGAACAAAGGGAAGATATTTTCTGAAATCTACAAACAGGAAGTGTGTCCTGCTCTCTGTCCTTCTAGGTAAAGCTGATCCCAAGGCAGCTCGGGCTTCCTTCAGCCTAAATGCTCAGGTAAGTAGACCTGCTGGTGTTAGACCATCAGCTGCAAGAAAACTCACAACATAGGTTTTGTCAACCATGTTATCCCCACTACTTAGCTCAGTGCTGGCACCTGGTAGAAACTCAGTGATAGTAGAAATAAATCAATGGCCCAGGACCCAAAAATGTGGGCAATAGATCTAATTACCACGTTTGAAGCTACCGTAAATGCGAAGTAAGTCAGGGTACTCCTTTGCGTTGACGCTATTGAACAATGCGTCCATCAGTGACAGGTCAAATTTGTCTTCCAGTTTATGGAGAACATTGTACACCACTTTTGGGACAGGAACCAAGTTCCTACAAGATTCTTCAGAATCCTTAAAAAAAAAAAAAAAAAAGAAAGAAAAAAACTGCCAACCAAGAATCCTTTACAGGACTTCTAAATTACCGAAGAGCCCTAGAAAGTAAGTTTATGGATAATGCAGGCTGTCAGATAAGGTCTCTTCTCAAGTGAAGTTTCAGAACATCTCTGGTAGT